TTGTCTGCAGTAAAGAACAATATATTTTACTTGTGAAATTCAACTGATTAAATGATTTTTTAGCTCTAATATTGATGTAATAATTATATTATCTTATTATAATTACAATATTTTTGAAACCCATGCCATTAATTTTCTCAATGCCGAATTTTGTTATACCTTCATCAACTACATTTTCGATTCACAAAACGTTTCAAATTGAAGAACAGATCATTGGACGATCTCACGAAACACTCATTCTAACTGCGAAGGCCGAAAGAGACGCGTAGAGCTTATTTAGTCGCACCAATAAGGCATTCATGGATTCCGGGTCAAATTAAATGTTACAAAGACGTCTTCAATTCTTGTAATCTTTTACTTAGTTCTTCTATTATGATATTTATATGTTCATCTGTAATCATAGACAGCGCCCCTAATAATTAATATAATATATCAGTTGAGATATATGAGTTATCTCATTTTAGACCTTTGACCTTAGTAATGTGTAATGTAAAACGTTAGGATGAAACATTAAACACAGAAATGGTCGTGGTGCTGTGGTAATGGTTACGAAAACTACCTTGACCAATCTAATGGCTATAATAGGTATAACAAATATATTCAACGAAAGAGGGAAATATTACATAATGATCGTGTCTAAAGCGTCATTCGTGCCCGACTTTTGTTTACATGCCGTATATAGTACGTTACGTCCAGTTGTCAAGTCATCAGTTGTCAACTTCTTCACACCTTTTCATATTACAATAGCCAGTTTACTTTCGTTAGACGTCTACTTTAAGCGGGGCACTAAATTAGGTAATGAAACCTAATACTAATACACACAAACATGGATCTAATAAAATATTACAAATCTTACTAATAAAATAAGCAAAGAAATTTTGTAATAGACCTTTTGTGAATATGTTATAATTTTAATTTATTGCTTTACTAATTCTAATATAATATTCTATAATCTATAATAATTAAATGTCATACAAATATCTTGTAGCATTAGACACTTTATACTCATTTGTTAAGTGACATTATTTATAGAAGATTTTAATTCATATAGATACCGAAAATAAAAAGCAAGCGATATCAAAGAGTGAGGCACTTTCACCGTGGGTCGTCTCGTTCAGCTTTCGGCCTCTTAGAGGTATGTGAGGCGCGTTTGACACTCCCCGGCACTCTCGACAGCCGCTACGTATAATATCGTAATCACAGATAGTGCTAACTCTATCCCACTCGTTTACATGCCGAGTGAAAGGAATGGAATCGCTACAAGAGCTAACCACGATGTCTGTAGTAAGAAATGATAAACAGGTGAAGCCGTGATGACACGGACTACTTCCCACAGATTGTATTTATTTTTCTTGTGTTAGGGCAACGACCTGACTTTGACTTAATAACCTATAAAATAATTTATTTTATTAATGCTGTCTTTTAAGTGATGCCACATTTTTTTAGCTCGTAATATATACTATTATTTACAGATTAAAACCAACTACCTAAAGTAAAACTTTTAGTGCATTCTCAATACAACCTAAGTAATCATATAATTTACTTTCTTTAAAATACCTGATCGAAATGTAATGTAGTGAATACGCGATTAGATATCACTCTGTAAATATTTGTCTACAAATAATGGATTATGTGAACAGCATAAGTTTTGATCAAATATTGCTAAAGACAATATATGAGCTTACGCCATTAATTTACTAATAGAAATATACAAATCTATGAATTTGGATTCAATATAAAGTGGGTCACTGTCAGACTCCAATATCACGTTATGTTTTAGTATGTCTTGTCAGCGTTCTGTTTTACACCCATCACTTTTCGTTGCCATAATCTCATTAATATTTTGAAATAAAAATTTATTAAAATATCTAAGAGTGTATCGATTCACTCTCTCAATTTTAGTCACTTTTCTGAAATATTTTATGCAGTGAAGAATTGTTGAAATAAGAAAGCACAAGACACTAAATGTTACTGACTTGTTTTATCATATGGCTATGCTGCCAATCGACCCTCTAATGATAGTTAAATAGTCTTCAGTTAAAGCCTCTAAGCCCTCAAAAACAATTGTTTTTTTCTGTCTATTCTATTTAAATAATACTCACCTCAGTACATTTATTTATTAAGATATAACGGTACTGTAAATAAAATTCCATGTAGTTTTTTAATTAAAAGAAAGTTTGCTATCTTTATAATCATAATCATCTCGTTCTTGAAAGTGAGAACGAACTCTGAATGGCTTTAATGAACAACCTCTTCAATGGCGTGATCTTAACCTAGATTTTTCTCGGCGGCAACAAATACCATTATAACACACAAATATCCAAACTGTTCATCGGCTATAAGATCATGTTTGATATTATATATGACAGAATTGAAACAGTACATTGAGCACAGTAATGTTGTTCCCTTGATGTTTTATCAAGGAATCTAATAAGTGTGATATCCTTACTAATATTATAAATACCAAAGTAACTCTGTCTGTCTGTCTGTCGCGCTTTCATGCCAAAACTAGTAAACCGATTTAAATGAAATTTCTTACACAAATAGTCCCTGAGAAAGGAAACAGGCTACTTTTTAATGCAAAAAAGGATCGTATAGGGTTTAAAGGGGAGATAAGTTTGTATGAGAATATCGACATTATTAAAGCTTGTAACTTATTTTTAGGCTGTTGATTAAATATTACATCTAAACTTTGTAAAAATGTTACCCTTAACGGGGAAAATAAAATAGTGGGATGAAAGTATGTATGGAAATTCGACATTTTATTTTATCTTAATTTGGTCAAGGTTTGTATAGCATCTGAAGGAAATCGCGGGCACAGCTAGTACAGTGTAATTCTGATATTTATCCTAATAATAAAATAAGGTAATGTTATTAGAGTAACAATATCAGGATCTTTGCTCCAACCTATATCTAATTTAACCTACATTAAAACTATATGTATATTTACTGTTCAGCTTCACCACCTTTAAAAGGAGGCGAGTTTATAATGTATATTATACCTGATTATGCTACTTCGTTCTGTCTACTTTTATATATCTTCTCTGACTTCACATAGATATAGTTAGTAAGAGGAACTCTATTTATAAATCAAATATATCCTATGTTATCTTATTCCGCTTTGTTTATTCATTATAAATAAATTCTATCAAATATTAATTCTCTTTGTTAATTAAAGAGCAGACGAAACCACGGGGCACAAGGTAGTGGTATACAAATAATCTTTGTGTAAACCAAAATTGGCATAGCAACTAATGATACATGCCGCTCCCTAAATCATTAACTTGCACTTTCCATCTGACTCGCGTAACAGATATGACGGCGATCGACACGGTGAGCATACGAATTAACAAATCGGGTTATTCCAACACTAATAATTCCACATTGTTGAATTTAATTATGTATATATATTTTAAAACATCTTCATTTTTACAAGATAAGAGCGTGTGTATACGTATCCTTTTATACTATAAAGAACATAGCACCTGGTCACCTTAACTATAATTTCATTATTCAAATTCTAATTGGATTTTCCTAATATACCATATGGTCTTTTATATATACTCTTCAAATTATACATACTTTTTTAATATGGTAACCTTGAAATTATTCAACAAACTTGTTTGACTAATATTTAAGAGACAATTTAAAACAAATGTAACATCCGGCCAGTCCCTTAATTTCAACCGATTTCTAAAAGGAGGTTATCATGTCCGTCATCATATCAAATAAAAAAATTATATTAAAATTTGAGCACGTTTTACCGCAATCTCACCTGATGTTATATTTGCAAAATATAGAAAATCCCTTGTTTGAACAACTAACTTCATACAAGGTACTCCCAAATAATCGTTTACAAAGTAATAATAGGCAACGCAACTTCGAAACTGATTTTCATGGATTTTTTTAATTAGACAATAATTTATCCAACATTGTCGTTTGGTCGTGAAATAATATCTTGAAATATTTTAAACTATTTTGCAATATAATTCTCACATTGTACCTGTTACATTACAAAATAATTTTAAAAAAATGTACAGAATGTAGATCATTTTTTGGGCATTTTAATAATTATTTCAATTTATGTTCAAAGAAAGTCAAAGAAAGCATAATGGTAAAAAAAAGTAATACTGCTAGTTAATTCATTGTTATATACACAGTTTCGTTACATAATACCTCATTACTATATTCAAATGTGGGTAATGGTATAGGGCAATATCTGTGAAACCCATAAAAAACCCATCATGTCATCATACATCATTAGGCATCGTATATACCTAGTCGGAATAGCTTGAATTGTGTAGGTATGAAACCTGTATCAGTGAACACTTGTTTAAATATCTGCCCATCAGATCGGCATAAATTAGAACCTTACCGATAAACCGTCATCTGATCTATTTTTATCCGTATTACCATGCTAAATTGTTGTATATTGGTTATACAAACTAAAGTACAATAGTTACATGTAAAGTAATAAATATATAAAGTAAGATGCATGCCAAAAGAGAAAACGCTAAAATTATAATTTTGCCAATGAATTATTTTCCAAGGCGAACCTTTTTAAAAGCGATAACGATATTATTGCGATTAACAAATTAATTTAAGTATACCAGTATAAATAACAAATACTTTCGAAACTACTAATTTGTACTTGTAATTGAATGTTAAAGTTAAAACTGATTTTTTAAACGTTAATTTGCAACAAATAGGTACGTTAATTATGGTGCATACGGTTTTAGAAAGTGCGTCCTTAGAGTATATGTTAAACGTCATATTTAAAAATAACTATAAAAAACTGAAATAATCGTATCAGAAAGAGAATATTTTATAATTTTGTAGTCTCATACACAATATAAAATAAAAAGTCACACATTTCCACTATGGTGTACTGAAATTGCAAATTAGCCACTCACCAGGACTTGGAATGAAGGTCACTGTGTCTCCATTGCTACTGTGTGACTGGATTACGCAATCGCATGATCTAAGAAGGTGATCGTTACCTTTTTATGGTTCCAGAGCACGTTGACGGAGGGCTTCCCGCGACGGAAGTCACTCTGGTCGATGACGTCGTCGTGTATCAGTGACGCCGAGTGTATCATCTCGCTTATCATTGCTACATGCCGTTGTGAAGTCAGCAATGCACTACAAATAAATAACAAAAATATTGTAGTGTGTGTGTATAATTGTTGAAATGAAAAGAGTACTTCAATGAGGTCGCTACGAGGTTAACGGAACTTATAAAGGTGCATCATTTAACTACAAAGGCAATGATAAATAGGAAATAATTATATAGTTACATTAAACAAAGTATAGTACAGTTGTAATCTCCACAAAATAATAAGCCCTAATATTTTCAGAAAGGAATAAACAAGTTAAAATAGTTATCACTCAATATCATAACAAACAAGGAAGGGTTTAAAATAATATTTCATAAAGAAATCATGATCGGTAATAAAGGTAAACGACGGGTTATCTTATCACTTATTTCAAGCAAACATTTTGCCAATAACATCAACGATAACATATAGTAACTAACTGAATTCGACCTGTTTGTATATTTTAATAAAACTGATTATTGAATAATAAATTTTCAGCGTATCTAATATTTAAAACATTGAGATATTTTTTAGGTATTTAGATAGTATCTCCATTTTGTACATTACACTTAGTAATAAAATTATGACCTGCGTTTGTAAATACTCAATTTGTCCACGTGATTTGTTAATCGGGATACTGTCAAAAGACTGAGTAAATTGTTTTAATTATCTTCAATAACGAGGTTCCCGTTTGAATTGCTTATAAATCATACTCACGCGTCGTACAATCGTCTGCAAATCATACTTACGCGTACTTTATAAGATGTCAATTAATAATAATTCTACACACTCGTTTATCTTACGGCATTAATCGCAAAATAGTTTAAATATTCTTCGCGTGTAAGGGCAAACTGCGACGAATCATAGGGAATACGTGATTTTACTATTTAATAGAGATTTAAGTATTCATTTATTAAAATAAAGTCACTAGACACTGGATTGCTGGATTTACCTAAACGCATTCCTATGAGGAGTAGCAACAGTAATCTGCATACACTTAAATTATCCTTAGTAATATCACAGACAAGAGATACATTGAAAACATACATCTGTGTTTTCCTTAAATAGTCTTATTTTAAACTATATTTTTTATTGGGCAACCTTAACTACATAATCATATATACTTGTATACAGACAGACAAATATATATATATATATATACATCTTCAAATTATTCTGAATGTGTTTAATATGTACTAATTTCTGAATTACGGTATGGTAACGGGTAATAGCTATGATAATTAAACAAAAAAGCCTGTAAAAAAACGTGACAATACATAAAGATATAATGAAACGAAACGCAACCAAGGTCGCAATGAGACATTGAACTATGGAGCGTGTGGTCTGATGACCGACTGCAATCCCAAACTATTGCCAAATACAAATAGTTGAGCAATGAATTCATTGAATACAGTTATTTTATCATAACACTCATCCTAAGAACACTAACATCTTATGGTTGAATATTTTCTTGTTCTTATCTTATCTTATAGAGGGTCAATGACAAGACACGTGAATAAAAGAAAGGCAGAAAATTTTTTGTCCTTAAATATTTATAGATGCAATAATGTATACATGCAAGAAATAGAACCGGTGACCATCGGAAATAAAGCGGTGTGCTCTATCGCTGGACAACCGAGGCCGTCAAATTATAAAAAAATATTGTTTATGTAATTTCAAAAATACTAAACCACAACATAGATTAGTATTATTCATTTTAATGTACTAGGAAGAGATTTAGGTGATGATATAAGCACTAAGTCCTTGTACTTAATTGAAGTCTAGTCTAAACGTGTATATTAAGTTGGAACCAAACAGCTAATAATAGTCTGAACATAAATATATACATAAAAAATACAATTTACAGATCAGGGAATCATTAGATTCAATGTTGGCATATGCATAGTTGTTGATGCATGTGATTGATGTACACATCTAATAATTATAAACTTAAGTAGGAAAATTTTAATAAATTCTATTAACAGAGACTCTATAGAATACAGAAAATAAAACTAGAAATTATGATACTAAATAAAGAAACGCAAAAGTATTCTCGATCCCAAAATATTATTTTTCAGTTTGACAATGTGTACCGAAATATTGATACAATATAGGTAACAGCGCCAGGGTTCTATGAAGGAAAGTAACAAAAAGGTTAAATTTATCACCCAAGAAAAAACTACCTATATTAATTATTAATAATAAGTATTTTGTGAACGCCCTTTACCGCTGACGTTACCACAGCCACGTATTATAAAATCGCCGAAATGTTGTGATCACAAAAAATCAAGATATGGATGATATCTATTAGGTAACATTAGGTAGACATACATTTAGGTATATTACCTTACTATATAGTGATCAAATACTCATTCTCACAGAAGACAATGCAGATGTTTTAGAAACATTCATAACAAATTATTCTTATCGGAGATTGTGATATTTCTACAATGTTATTATACTGGTACTTTTAATATTCCTTTTGTAACAACGTCTATATAACTGTAAACCGTAAAAATAATTACAAACGATGTACGTACTTACCTATTTTCTCCATAAACGTGATAATTAACGGCCCTCGCCATCAGTATGGCGACCATCGGCCTTAGAGCTTTGCCCTGTCCATCGAAGTAGTAGGTAGCTATGGTGTTCAGTTCTGTCTGGTTTGTGTTTTTCTCGAGCTCCTGTCAATCAAAAAGACTACAGTCGAGTTGGTACCAAAATAGAGGTATAAAAATTAATACTATAAAGAAAATAATATAATTTAAAAATAACTAAATCCAGTATAAGGATAATGTAAAATAAAAATACTGAAAAAAAATTGTTCTTTTACATATTCACCCTTCTATTGAAAATGATTGAATATGGTTTCCGTCTTGTAAGAAAGAAAATAATTACTTATTATTTTCGTATTAAAAGTTTAATGTTGTTTTATTATATTACTTATTATTTTTACATTACAGGTTATTAAAATTCCCTTTATACAACGTAACTGCAATCTTTTTCAATACATAATATTGACTCTTAGTGTAATATTTAATAAATTTAGACAAACCCGTTTTATTTACAGTATATTTCCTTATAAAAATATAATACCTGTATAGACGAGTATTGCTAGAATTCAAGCAAGTTTTATAATAATTCTTCCCTGTATCACAAAGAAAGAATATTTAATTGAATATTTATAAATTCAAATGTATTAATATTGACCCTGGAACCTATGATTTTATCGTATGAGGTCATATTGTGAACAAAGATATTTAGCTAACAACATTTCGATGTGTAGATTCTCTTAGACCGTGGGTAGTTCGTAATCTATATTCAGTGCAAATACGTAATCTACCTATATGTTTATCGACAAAACATCTTTTAAACTCCCGGTTTAACTACCTAAACAAAACTAGACTCGTAAAATGTATTTTTAATTCTGCCTATAACTGGACGGACTATGAAGATAAATAGGCGAATGTTGCAAATACAATTATTTATAATCTCATTACTTTTATTATATAAGACGAAAAATGCATAAATTAGAAACGCGACTGACTTTTAGAGACCTTACTGACATACATCACTAATTTGTTAATAGTATCGTATCAACGATGAAACTTCCCGTGTGTCGAAATCAAAAACTATTTGGGTAGGGTCTCTCATATTGCTGATGGCAAAATTGATTTTTGCCCTCGACTCAAAAATAAGAAATAATCTTATAAAACATTTATTAAATAAATACCATTGCTATCGGCAATCACACGTAGTTACGCTACGCTTTCGTAGACGTTGCTACGAAACAGTTACGCGTTAATATTCCTCAACTTTGAATAAAAGTTTAAAGAAGTAATTATCTACTTGTAACAATATATTTTTAACTCAATATAAAATCTAGTGAACTAACAAAAGAAACTAACAAATACTATGAAATAATGTTATGTAAAATTCTCTAATAATTGCATTAAATGTGGAGTTTTATTCTCTGATAAATTCATTAACTGTATAAAAGCATTTTTTCAAAAGCCATTACAATATCGTAGCTTTATGCGCAATGTCTTTATTTTTTAAGGCTTCTGTAAGATATACCTATACATTTGTATACATGCAAAAATTAAATATATTAAAAACAAAATTACTGTAATATAAATAAATAAGGATTAGCCGTAGGATGGTGATCTTAAAATGGGATGATGTTATTAGCTTAGCTTAGGAAGCGCGAAGGTAAAATATTACAAATATATTCTTCTAATTCTTAATATGTCTGTAATATTTTACCCCAAAATGAAAACGAAGTATGTTTTTAATTAATTGGAATTATATAGAATATTCGAACATATTAACCCAACCTACAAAGACGATGAAACAAAAGGTAGTGTCGAATTAAAATTGGCACGAGCTGGTTGCAAACATCTTCTCACATCCGTAGACAATGACTCTCGGTATTTGAATTGCAAAATCTAACTAAAACTATGATTATTGTCGTAAACCAATTTTATTGTGTACAGGCAGGATGCTATATGCACATAATTGTAATACCTCTTTATATATAATTACGTTTGTGACTATGTATACAATACATGTTTATTGACCGACCTCAAAGGTTTCCAATTCTATTGTATTTTTGTGTACGTATTACGCAGTATCTTTTTCAATTGAGAACTGACTTCAATAGTTAAGAGTTTACTGAATATTAAAACGTTTCTAATTAATATATGATATAAAATATACCTAATCTATAATACAATAAAACTACTATATAACGTGCTTAACATGTGTTCATTGTTTTGTGTATATATTATTATTACTATATCAATAAACATTCTTACATATACCATATTTCGATCATAAATTTAACAAATTCGTCATTTTATTCATAGAGTATATATCTTACAATATGTCGGCCAGAACTTAATGACTTCCCTCTTCTGATTAACAATTCAAATGTGCGTTCTTAATATCGCAACGCAAAATACGTAGGTAGATACTATAAAACATTTACAACTTTAAAATTTAACATAGTTAACGTACCTACGATTAATATAATAAATATTAAAATTCGTTTAATATTTTGCATAAGGCATAATTTCATTACTTCAGTTATTGAAAGTCAGAAGAACTTAATTACGTGGAAATTCAACGGGTTTTTAAGTACTAGTATTCTGACAAAGCGAGGAATATCACTCTCTATTTACATTTAGATAAATCACAATTAATCGACCACACAGTAGTTGTAGTACGTAATACTTCCGCTTGCAAAATCATCAGTTAATTATCAATCAGCATTATTGATAGCAGGGCGAATCGGTGAGGTAGCGGGCCTGAGCCAGGAAGCCCGACATACTTTTCAGACACGTTATCGTTGTTACCAAATTTTAACTATTAATAACGAATACAGGCGTCGTAGAAAGTACCTTTTGGATAGTAGGATATTCAACGATGCAGATCTTAAATCATTCAAAAAGATCTTAAATCTTAAAAAATTCTTTTGTCAAGTAAAATCTTAAATTAAACCATGATGTGACCAGTTTTGGCGCAATATATAAAAATAAATACACAAATAAGTGAATAATAATATTCAAAAAGAAGCGACGACCTCGGTGGTCTAGCGGTCTAGCACACCGCTTTACGTCTAATGGTCGTGGGTTCGATTCCTCGCACGGCACAAACATTTGTATTCATGATTATGATTGTTTTTATCGGTCTGGGTGTTTTCTATGTATATTATGTATATATAAAAAAATATCTATGTATTTGTATCAGTTCACAAGCTATAGCTAGCTTAACTTGGGTCTAGATGGCGCTGTGTGAATTGTCCTGAGATTATTATTATTATATTATAATTAATGGAATAGAATAGATATAAAATGTTACTAAATAATTGTACACGCTACCAGCACACTATAGTCTCGTGATGCTGATGAACTTAGGTAATTTTGCTACTGTAACATTATAACTTTGGCAAGTCATTCAATGTTTAGTATAAATGCATCATTATTATTTTATAATTATGGTTATATTTGCATAATTGTCTCAATAACTTGAAACTGACCGGCGTCACCTTTAAAGAAGTTGACCTTCTGCACAGATAAGAGTAACTGCGGAAATTTACATTCTGTAAACATCCTGTAATACAATTTCCTAGTCGCAATTTCATACATACGTTTCAAAAATCATAATATACAAGATTATAACACTTTGTTGTCATATTTCATTAGTCTAATGTAATACATTATTAAGAGTAAATATGGACTTAAACCGGGAGACGTCGATAGGCTCACCCTCTTCCACTTTCTGTTCAAATATACCGAGCAATATGTGGGCATGGGCATGTCAATCTTTATGTTCACCACGATGTCGACAATAACAACGCCTGAGACTACACCCTCTGAGGTAACAGTCATGAAGGCATATTGATCATTGATTCATAATTTAAAAACCACGCACTGGTTTGTGGAGCTCTTTATTAATAAATATTACAAAATCCATAGTTCTTGGACTATGCCTTACAGAAACTCGTAGATACGTAAAGCATGTTCTAATATATATTACAAACCATATTTCAATGTCGAACATATTGCATCATATTTGTACAATACAGTAGATAGCAAAATTATTATTAGATTGCTATTAGAATATCAAGAAAATGTTTGAATAATAAAAATGTATGACAATGTACTTACATTCCCTTAGGGTTAATAAACCTAATCATAATGTGCACGAAAGAAGGCCAACATTCAAGTTTCGCGCAGTTTCACAAGGCGCACTTTCCACTGCTTGACTTGACCTATCGCAATACCCATTCATTATTATGGTAGGCATTTATTGAAATCAAATATAACATGTGTCCTTTATGGTTGTACTAGCACAGTAGAACTATAATAAATAAAAATATATGTATAGAGTTTTCTTATAATTTGTCGCTACTATATAGTAGGTATTAAGTATTACAGAGGCGTTTTTCAGTCTAATACACTGAAAATAAGAAAATTTATTATGCTATGGTAGTTGGGTAGGTAGGCAAGTTGTTTGTTATTACTATATAAATATAAAGAAATAATACATCACATATATAAATTAAAAAAACACTTGGTTAATATTCCAGCAGATGTTATTATATTAAAATTTTATAATATCATAGCTAGCTAATCAATGAGGGAATTTTATATTACTATAATAATATCTTATAAAAAAATATAACATCTGTAACTTAGTTACGGAACTAAAGCGTGTGTGTCTAGTATCTTGACCGGTTTTATTTATACCAGTCTTGTGACAGAACTATCTTCATTCCAGCTGATATGGTAATACTACATCCAAGAAACGGACATTTAGAAATGTACTAGCACCACCGTTCTCGCGGAGGGGCCTAGTTTTGTACGAGTTTTCCAACAGAAAGTAGGTAAGCAAGTAGCTGTCGCCACAAATACAGAGATATCGTGAATATATATTTATATGACGAACAATACGTATTATATATAAAAGGACTTCATATAAATAATGCGTAGTTTAATATTATTGTAACCAAGTTGACGTCAAATGTAAAAATAATAGAACAGTGGGTCATCTCACAAATTCACTACTATATATATACTATTTTTATCATTTATATATAAAAAATATCGTTATATCACGAGCATGGAGACAAAATCACAGACACAGCTAGTAACTTAATAATTAGTCTAAGTAAATCGTAACAGTAACGCAGTACATAAAGCGCAATTATCATCGACGTGCAAATTACACGAGCGAAGCCCGGCCGCGTGCAAACACGTCATGACTTTGACACACTTGCCACTCAATGAACACAACGACCAATCATTTTTTCATTTTGATTTTGACAATGAACTAACTGTCTATTGATAACCGTAGTGTCAATGGTTTCATAATAAGACCTATGTTTGCTGAAGAGATAAACTATAATGTTTTAGTTTACATTAAAAACAGAATCGCTTTGTTTACGTATATTATTGGTTAGTAAATAATTGTTAATCATTTATAATTAAATTTAATAATAGTAATGTGGGTTAGTGTCTATATAAATTACACAAAGACACGTAATGCAGTAATGTAATGTGTAGTTAATGCCTGTTTAATAATATTATGTATTTATTGTTTTTACATAATTGTGTATGCCATATTCGTAGACTAAACAATAAGTTAGGCTAGAAGGATGTTTATGAGCAAGTGTCACAACTACCTTAAAGCTTAAAGTCAGAATAAAGTGATATTATTTATTGCAATAGAAAGTCTATATCATGTTATTGTTACATAAAACGAATTACATTTTTATATAGTAAATATGTCATGCGTTAAAAAAGTAGTGAATTTTAATTTATTGTCAATATATATTAGCTTTCATTGATATTAAATTATTTATTTCAAGAAAACTATAAATGATTTATCGTTTGAGGTCCATGTTTGTTTCATTAAAAAAAATTGATTTCACAAGTCTAAAAGACTACCATACCCGATAATATATATGAAATATATAGAAATGTCGAGTGAATTATTATAATTTATTATTATAGGAATATCATACTATTATTTTGAACACTGTCTTGCATTTTTTTACGAAAACGTAGTAAAAATTTTTTGACTGTGATTTTTACTTAGAATAACATACACTGTCACACTTTGTAAAATTAATATCTTTGTAAAATCATGAAGTAATTTATCGCAAATTAATTCGCTGGTCTAATGTAAAACTCGAAAAAAATTGTGCTCAAACGTTGCTGTTGATGTCAGAATTTTATCTTAATCGATTAATATCCTAATGACTTGATTTTTAGGCCTAAAAGTCTCACCGCTCGAATATCTTCGTATATTCCGTTGAGGTCATCTTCAAGTAAACGATAGGGGTCGACGATCTGTGTGCCATAGTCAGGTAATGAGCCAGTGTTTGTGCTCTGGAGACTAGATGCCAAGCGACGAACCAACCCCGCGGTTGCACTGGTACTCGATGACCCACAAGGCGGGCCGCAGGTTGTTACTCTCTGTAACAATATAAGATTGAATTAAATAAATATTTATTATTTAATTATACATATATACTATATACTATTAGAAGGAAAACGGTCTACTTAAAATGTAATTTTTTGTCACATTTACATTGGTGGCAGATTTGCTTACTGGACTTTTATTCTCGTCATTAACAGTAAATAAAACTTTGTGATCAAAAAATTAATTAATCCACCTAAAGAAATATATTTGCTACAAATAGATTTTCTCCACAAAATGACAACCTTGAAAACCCTTACAAGCCATAGGATATTTATATTATACCATAGGTAATACAGACTAACAAAACCGCGAATTACAGCTAGTATATAATACAAATGAGTCATGCAATTGAAATTTGTAATTTCAATGAACATTTTATAGTAACTATAAGGTCAATCGAGATTGAATTGTGACCGCTAATGACTACAATATAATGATCGTAGATCGTGATTTGAGCTTGTGTAACACGAAGCACATGTGACCTAAGATTTAATAAAATTATAATTTGCAGGGCACTTGGATCGGCCAGGGAAGATGATTTAAAGAAGAAATTTGTATAAAGATCGTTATCAAATGTTGCACATTGCACTGAATAGCGCCATTGGTTGCATGCATGCAAACTATTTGAACACATTATAGTGTGAAGATTAAGAGAGCAGTATCAATAAAAAAAAACCGTTCCGGATGGCCCCTTTTTGTACTCCGTGAAAACAACTCTAATAATCAGACATCTGTATCACTCACATGTCTGTATTACAAACATCTGTATCACAAACACCATCAAAAATGCCTGCTATCTTTCATATCGATGTAACCGTAAATTTCGCGATTGATGTCATAAGCACACGCCCATACACGCTCCCGACGAAACTAAAAGCTATCTGTGACCAGCGGCAGTAGATAAATTCGAAAAAAAATAATCAGACATATTATTACTATTCTTTATCCGATGTATACTAAAAACCTTTTTACAAGAGAGTGGCCTAGTGATTTAGTTTTACATCCAAGATGCCGTGAGTCCAAATCTAGCGACACAAAAAAATATTTTTTGAGTTTATATTGAATGTGATAAAGGAAATGTCGATATAAAACCAAAAAAATAATCTAAAGAGCCGGCGGTAGGCTTGCCCCCTGCACAGCAGCAACATCGACAGTTATTAAGAGTCGTGTCGTGTATTGTGTAAAAAAAATATTATTTAAAGTACAAAGTGGTAGTAGTTGTATAGCGTAGTGGCGAAGGGTGCGGCGGTGCCCTTAACTATATGGCGGCGGCAGTGACCGCGATACGCGTTTCGCAATGGGTTTATGCAACTGCAGGCGAGTGCAGTCCGCACCTGATGGGCCCGACCAACTACACGTTGCAAAACCGACACGATACACGTATGTATTTGCACGTACGATACCATTTAGGAATGCCGGAAAAAATAAATATATTTCATTATAAACTGGAATATTCACATTATACGTCTTGTAAACCCCCAAAATACATAATTGAGAATTATTTTATTTTTTAAGTTCAAAAATGTATGGTTCCGAAGGCCTTTATAATTAATTATTTATAATTTCATATGAAAATGTCAACACTGTGTAAACTTACAGCTGAAACTGATATAGATGAGTAAAGGATATTTAAATAATTATAATATTCACTGTTGATTTCGAATTACTTATTACTGTACATAGAACCATTAAAAGTACATCCTTCCTACAAATAACCTTCATTTCTAATAAATATATTAAAATATTTTTGTAACCAACCATGACCAATTACTAACAGCAATATTCAACTAAATTGTAAGCTACTTAACGAATCACAATAGTATCTACTTAATGGTGCGAGGTAAAATAATGATCATTTAGTCAGTAGACTATAAGTCATATTATCTGCAAGTACAATACAAAAAAAAACTGATTAATTTCAAGTTGAGCTATTTGATGCATTATATTATATTTAATCTATCTATAAACATTATAAAGAGGTAATGTTTAAGTATGAATGTTCGGGGGTACTCTCCGGCACTACTGATACGAATTTGAAAATTCTTTTAGTGTAGTTGGAAATCCCATTTATCGCGATCTATATAGAGTGATGTCACGCTACGACCAATAAAAGCAGAGGTGAAATAAAAAACTAGCAAAAATGAGGAAAATGCAGACAAAGTTACTCGCGTTTGTACTAACAAAATGCACTAGCATTATAAAAATCTAACAATAATATCAATTACGTTAAGTACGGCTAGTACTGTGACGTATTAGTTATTGGCCTTATATTTTTAGGGTTCAGAACAAACTATAGAAGATAATACTAAACCATTATCATATATTATATAGATACAGATGGTAATGAACCTTAATAGATTTTTAATACGTTTCGCTCCGATGAATCTCCTGTACCAGGTAATCAAAATTATGATAGCATGTCCCCAGGAAAGTATCCCCTACCTACACCCACAGACTAAAGTAAAATTACAGTTACGAGTTCAGAAAGCACTGCAAACTCGCGAAGGGTTTGCAGTGCTTTTTGAACTCGTCAACATATTTCAGGTACAGCCAACTAATACTATTTGACATCCATTACATTTTTTCTGGATATAATTCCTCAGCTTGCTACACGATTCAAACACGATATGTTGCAGTTAAAAAGTGAACACAGAATTATTATATTGCTTAACACTTGTACACTTTTCGGCTATATCCTTAGTACGTGTAATACGCCACAATGACGTTTATTTACGTAGAATAAATTACTTCCACCCGATTTCACACGCGCCTATGTAAGAATACGCGTGAACACAACACAGTAATCAGATATTCTGAATAATATTAAATAAATACGATGAATACTATTATTTTATGAAATAAATACATACATATATATTTATTAATTAAATAATAAACTATTTTATTAAATTAAATAAATACGATGAATTATTATTATATCAGTTGTTACCACGTCTCCGTTTGCTTTTTTTAAGATAAACGATAACTCAGGTCTATTCTCGTGACACAATCTAGCTTCATAAAAAATTTGATTAGGACCCGCCGTTCAGCTGTTTAGGCGGGAATAGACAACAAACATACAGATGTATATATTTTAGTATTTATTTGTTATTTAATACCTATTAGGATTAAAAAGAATTGTAAATAATTATAGTTCATTTAATTCTATAACGAATCAGATTATATACGTTCATGAATGTCATATTAAGGTTTGTATGAGACTACATTCCAGTTTCGTAAAAAAATTATGTAAAAGGATTTAACAAGCTAATGCACCATGGCAAACAGTATACATGACAAGAATCACGATCTTCACGTCATCGTCATGTGACGCATTTGGGAACGCACATTCGCGTTGCCATTCCGGAAGGCTAAATATTCATGCCTCTATATCCTGCTATTTCAATGTCACATCTCACCTTCAAATCAGAACATTTCTTACAAATTAAGCTGCTTACCAGCAGAAATATGTGAAATGGCGATACTCACAAAGATATATTTGTACAAAGATTCTTTCTGGTAACTATTACCGTACATACTCATAATATTCAAAACATTAAATAGGCAGGACAGCGCATGCATGTATCTGCACATCATACATAACTATTAAACTCCAAGATTAGCAATTCAAAAAAGTATGTTAATTGAATAATGATAACATGAACATAATCTACATATGTATTTGCGTGTGTAAAATAAAGTAATAGTCGGTTATAATGCCTAATCTTTTTTTCGGAAATAGTATAAATTAGATGCGTAATGATATTTTTCTAATAACTTTTCTGTATTATACAGCAGGCTATTGAAAATGCGGACAAAAAATGCACTGAATGTAATATAGCGAATACTATTTTTTCTTAATTTGCAAATATTATTCTACTACAGTTACAATTTCCAGAATTAATTCATTTAATACTGTTATGTTTTCCATTACAGTACAATTGAGTTTGGAATCTATTCTGTCCGTTAGCCCCGTTCTCTACCAAACCAGAACACAACAATTATTGCTACTCATTATTACATGAAAGCATCTAGCTACACTTGCATTAATACAAGAAACATATAATTTACTTAATAGTCAAAAACCGTTATGTTCTTTTTATACTGTTCCCAAACTTATTGAAAATGTAAAATATAATACCGTCAATTTTTATATACATAAGAATACATTATAATTATTCATTTTTTTTAATTAATTATTATATACAATACTATTTGCGATAACAAGGTCAAGATACATGAAAAAAATATTAGAAATCATCAAGAAATACTTACACAATTGTAGTCTATCCTGTTTAATTAATTACCGATGCATTTGACTATTCTAGTGACTTTATTTATAAATATTTCAAAATTAAAATCGATTTTGTATTCTATAGTAAATATATATTCTATTCCCAATTCAACAAATACTATATTGATAATGAGACTTTTATTGAGCTTGCATCTTAGTTCCAACATACGTCATTGCAGAAAGACGTAATATCGGCATGAAACGTTCACCATATCTACATGAAAAAGCATATTAAACCCGTACTTCGACATAACATACACATGAAACCAGAATGTTATACTCGATTATAAAACCTGTATGAAAGGCTAAAAACTAAACGAATTACGTTACGTTACAATCTATGCATTTATGAAATAAGAAAAATGTATTGATAAACACACGGTAAAAAGACGTAGACGGTAAAAAGGTAACGACTTTATCAAAACAAATACAAATTGAAACTTTTTTCAAAATTATAATGGTATGGATTACTAATCCATTCTATATGTATTTTTTTTTTGATGTAGCAGGTTTAAGTAAGTCAGTCCCAGTTAAATGGTATTCGACGTCAGATCGACGAGCATTGATGATGATGTTTAAGATTTACGTCGACATCAATATAGTTGGGGAGCGCCGGATGTGAATGATGATACATATTGAGCTGCACAATCAAAGAAATTCAATCATCATAAACCAGTGGTAATATTTAAAATATGTAAT